ATTGCTAATTCATGGCACAATGACTGGGGAGAGAAAGGTGAGTGTGAAACTGACCCCTGGAAATGGACTCAGTGAAGCTTTTTGCATGTGTATTGCTCCCTTTCATTTGTATTTCCATATGAATGATTATCTTACAGGTTTCTTCCGCATGGTCCGGGGAACCAACCATTGTGGAATTGAAGAGGACGTAGTTGCCGGACATGTTCGAGGGTGATTATTGTTACCTAACCATATGAAATGTACAATAAAGCTTAGAAGAAGTGTTCATGCATGAGACCGGATTAGAGCTTGAGCGATAGCTATCAGTAGCACCTGATGGACAAACCCACAATGAGATGGATCGCATCACCTTTGACTGCAGGTTTTGCCTGGCTCAACACGCCGTTGATCGGAAGTTTTACACGGGAGCAGACTATCACGCCCTCTGCGCTACACCCTGTTTTTTAGTGTGATAAGAGCTGCAAAGTTCAGGAAACAAACTTCAGGACTGCTGCCAACTAGGATTACTTCGCTTATTTTGCGAGTTTGCGAGAAGATTGGGTTCGATATAGCAACAAAATTAATGAAGAATGCAACCGGCTTGTCGAACAACTTCGCGATAGTGCCAGGAAAGCAGAGAGAATAAAGGATGCCAAGAAACGTCTCTTTTCAAAGAGTCGAGCTCAGACGCCACTGTAGGATCGCCCAGACAATAACCTGCTGACGTCCCAACTTGCTGATTTATGCAGAGAAGCGAAAAAGGAAGATTCGAAGAACAAAAAAGCAGTAGAACTGACTGAAGCCGCCAGAACTAGAAAAAGCATTCGCAAAGCCTGCCGGAGCCTAGCCAAGTATAAGACTATGACGACTTGCCCTCGTGACGGAACAGTCACTGCATTTCGAAGGCAATGGGGAAGGTCATCTGCGAATTCTGCTCTGATCTCTTCAACAGCCACGTCTACCTGACTACCTACCATCTCAGACAAGACGGATATATGTCATCTCTAAAATTCCCCCTTTAAAATTCGACATATCATAGAGCTGGTTAATAACTGTATCGCACTCGGTCCCCATAAGACCAGACCAAGATATCTAATGAGTCTTCTGCCAATCACTGTCAAAACTCTGACGCGGTGCAAAATCCATCCCTCAACACTGGATAAAAGACAGTTATCCAAGCAAACAGGTTCCGGGGAGAATACACTTCAATTGACGAGAACACCGTCACGATACTCACTGAAGTGCCGCGAGAGTACAAAACGCCGCTGCTTCTATTCAACGACTTGAAAAAACCTCAGATGCCGCCGGGGCAGAAGCGGTAATCGAAGTTCCGGGCAATCAGGGTGTTTTTATTCAATACATAAGGACACTTCGTGAGGTCTACAACAACTTCACGATCAGGATCTCCCCGTACCATGAAGGATTCGTCATCAACGTGAGGAGGGGGTTCGGCAGGGCGATACCATTTCGCCTAAACTTTTCATGCCACCCTCGAGAACATCATGCGTCACATGGAATTGGAAGGCAAGGGTGTGAAGCTCAAACGGCCGTTACTGACATCATTTCCATCCTACAGACGACATCGTGCTTATAACACCACCGAGGGGGCGAGACAAATGCTGGCCGGATTCAACAACGCTTATAGAAAGATCGGCCTACGACTGGACCCGACGAAGACGATGTTCATGAAAAACGGAGTGGTACCTAATGCTCCCTTCACGCTGAGTGAACGATTATCTCCGTATGCTCTAGCTATGTGTATCTAGGCAGAGAAGTCAATGTGATGAACGACCTAGCCCCAGTGAGAGCAGGGGAAGCGCGGTGTGGGGCGCATTTGGAAACATCGAGGGATTGGGAAGAAGACGAAGAACATCCGCCTCCGCGTTCACCTTTTCGTCACTGCGGTGCTTCGTATTTTGACGTACAGCTCAGCGACTCAGACTCTACCAAAACAGCATGAGTCAGCGTCATCCAGCGCGCTGTGGAAAGACGATGCTAGGAACCTATACACGCAAACGCAGAAGGGAGTCCAGAGTTCTGACAAGCTCCGTCATCGAACAAAGGTGAAGGAGGCCATTGTTTATGCCAAAAATTGAAGTTCAGGTAGGCCGGACACGTAATGCGATGTCGTGATGTTGGACCAGAACGGTTACTGACTGGATCCCTCGGGACGTCAAGCGAACAACAGGGCGACCGCCAGCGCAATGGCCAAACTCCCTCACGAATGCTATGATTGAAATGATGCTCCGTCCGGTGTCACATGAGCGAGGTCGATCCACGTGTCTACTCTGTCTTCCGATAGGAACCAATGGAGACCTCACTGGCACCCGCTCGCGGAAATCGAGATCAATGGGACGACAGGTGATACAAGTGGTTAGATTTGAATGCCAACCCGTGGAAATTAATCGTATGGGAAAACATGGAGGCGAACGTGCAACTCTAGTGAACTAGACCCCTCTTCAAAAAGTTAGTGAACATCTACATTCAGCAATAGCTAGCGACGTTGTGTACGTCAGATTTCCCAACATCTATGGTCGTAAAAGTTCAACCGCAGCAAAGCGCAAACGAGTGTTTGAGATGAGTAAGAAGTGCAGAGCTCGTAAAACACAATCCAACGGCTGCTTCTGGGTCGGCTACCATGTGAGCGTTGATGAACTCACAAAGAGACGAAGTTCAGAAGTCAGCGCCCACGGTTACCCACTAGGTCCGATGCTATCTCTTCAACTAGAGCAGTCTGAACAACACATCGCACCCCTTACAAATATTCCTTGGCCTTCGTGAGGTTTTTGTCATAATTTCATAAGGTAACGTGGAAAATCTACCTCGACATTCTATCAGATTCTTATAATGTCAAAAATGTCTCGGTTTTTCCACTTTTTGTGGCATCTGATCCCAATGAAGTAGCTTTTGAAGAACTTATTTCTTCTCATACACATAATAACTGCATTGCTTAATTTCGCGAGATGAGATTACTGTGCGCTATCGAAATTCTTTGCTTCTATAGATCAGTTGAGTGCCTTTGATGATTTTCATCCTGATGGCGATTTACAAAAAGGCTTCGTAACTTTAAGAAATCTCGATAAGTATGTGCCTTCCAACCCAAGGATGCGCCAAAAATACAATAACCTGCACATATAAGAACTTTGCTACCCCGAGAATCTCGGCTCTATGGCATATCACAAGATCACCCCTTATTGGCAGCTTTTCCATGAAAAAACATATGGCAATAGCTTTGTTAACATAAGAGGATTCCTAATCTATGAAGATAGAGCAAACTTTTTTTGCACTAATCAGATCCTAATCAAACCCGTGCTTCGAAATGAAATTAGCAGGGACTAAACGTCGTTTGATCAGGATAAATCCCCAATATTTTTTGGCTCCCTCGCTCTGAGGAAGTCGACTGGCCGATACCTTAGCCGAATGAAGATATAATATTTTCCCCGTGTTATAAAGAAGAGCGTCTAATTGGTAAGACATCACTATCATGCCAAGATTGAGTGGGAGTCGAACATGGTAGCTTGTAGAGATAGAAAATGTTTTCGCATCATCGTGGACGTGGACTTATTATGGAAATCGGGGATGCACTAAACGAAACAGGAAAACTTGGTCCACAACTACCGTCTTTTTTAATTAAAACCATGTCCCTCCGGTGGTAGCTTCTCCATAGCTTATTCCGACGAATTTCGGTAAGCTTATTGAACAAGTTCCCTCTCTCGAATAGGGTCGAAAAGTAAAAAAAAAGTGGAAGAAATCGAATAGGCGAGAAGTCTAGTCGCTCG